CTGAAAGAGTGACCGCTGGCCTGTAAATGAGTGAAAACTGCAGAGTTCTGGCCATTATCTAATCATCTAATGGCCAGAAATCTGCAGTGTTACTACCGCTACTACTTTCCTGCCCACAGCCATCAGCATCTACAATAAGTTTTTAGTTAAATGAGTTACAACAACACCTAATTTCCCTCTGGGATCAATAAAGTATTTTTGAATTGAATTGAATAAGCAGTGCTTTTACATAATTAATCAATAAGTTTACTGCTTTTTCACATCCAAATGGAGGCCTTTTCACAAAGTGCTTTCAAATCGAGACCCCTTTTTCTTGTTTTGAATTTGTTACAAAACTACCGAGGCAGCATCAGGGGTTGAAGTCAGTTCGCTGCTGAGCTGCCGAGAGGGGTAGTCACAGAGCCAAGTTGGTGAGAAGGTACAAAGCATGAGCACGTACTGTAAGTGGCAATTCGAACCAGTGATGTTGTTGTAAAGGCAAATCAGAGCCTCCAATTCAACTACAAAATGTTTCGTTACTAACTAATGTTTTCAAATTAATATTCAAATAAAACATGTTGGATTTGGGGGAAATGATCTGGGAGCTGATACGGTTCAAACTGTTGCATTTGAGTTTATTCTTGAAGCATACAAGTGTAATATTAAATCGCTGTTTTTAGCAGGATTATAATGTTTATCACTACAAAAAGAGGCTAGAGCTGAGCATTTTATCATGGCTTTTAAAATCCCAGATTTATCTAACATTAGAAATCTTGATGCAAAACAAATAAGAGGGCAACACGGAGAATAATCGAACATAAGTAGAATCTTTTTCCAGAGAGAATAAAAGAAGGTTTACAGCTGGCTGTGATTAACATGTAAAAGCTGTGGATAGTTTCTAAAAATTGCTGATTGTGCAGGGCGCCCAATTAATTTCTTTACCCCTGTAACTGTTAGAACCAGACATTTTACTAGCAGTGGCCAGACTTCTGCATGCTACTCAATTTTAAGGTTGTTGAAGTACATTATGACATTAGCCGTCTGAGTCAGGACTATTGAGTGACCATTAGATATTTTAGCTTTGGGCTAACCGTATACAGTTTTATTTAACCTTGGCTGTAAGATTTACTGGTTTGCGGATTAAATCGGCGTCGAGAAATGGCATCAAGGGACAGCGTGAGCTAATAAAATCAGAGTGTGTGAAAGTGAGACTGGCGGAGAAGGAACCAGGGAAAGAGAAAGTTATGGCTTCTTGCTCCCTCTTTCATTGTGCTCCGTGGTTCTTCTTTTGTACTCAAGAAAGGAGGTGGGGGGTGAGTCTGCCAAGAAAGTTTATAATGCTCTAAAACCTGTCAGGCACTCGCTGTTATATATAAGGCCAGTAAATTTACAGGTTAGTGTGCCGTTGGTCGTCCCCCACCCCCCCAAGTCTCTTATAGCACGGAGCAGGAAATGATGGAGAGAGACAGACAGACTCAGGTCCAACCTCAGCCAGCCTTGACTACTGTCACCCTTTTCTGTGCCACACACATGCAGGAAGTGCGTACACTGGGAACGCTTTATGCACCCATCACCACCCCCCACTGCCATCACGTTTCTTCCGTTTACTACCATTTTGCWTGTACTGTCATTCTCACAACCTCTGTGTTAACTGCTCTTTATAACTTTACTTGCATAAACTCAACTCTACGAGCCGTGGGAGCCTGTTTTTGTCAGGGATTTACTAAATCAGGTCACAGACGGTGAGTCCTCAGACAGCTAAAGTTAAACCAGGTTCTGTATATGAGCTGCTTTTATGATGGATAGATATAGATAACAAGTACTGTAGTGATTTTTTTATTTGAAACGTTTTTTTAAATWTGGACATTTAATTGTTAAAATTTTAGTTAGGCGAATAAAGAAATCAATACCTTGAGAGTGCTGCTGACAGAGACAGGAGGAAAGCGATGCATCATTTGATTACTGAGCAGCACAAATGGGTCCCCATATGGCTGCTCATTAAAGAACTCCACAGAGCTGCTTCCAGTATTCAATTTAAACTAAGTGGATGATTGTCATTTTGTCAGCTGTCAGGACAGGAAAATAAACAACTCAATTTACYGAACATCTGTGGGATCTACATGTCTTGACCTCCTGGCTAGAAGTGGTACAGTTAATGCTCCTGTAGAGGGTTTTGTAGCTAAAACACACAGCAGCAGCAGTCCTGTGTCGAGCTGCATGTTGAGTTTGTTGTTTTGGCCTGCTCGTCTTTCAGGCAGGTGCTGCCRACCTACGACAGCTTGGATGAGCCGTCAGTCAAACGCATGAGCACCATCTTCACCTCGGCTCTCAACGTGGTCACAATATTTTACATCACCGTGAGTGGAGCCACACTTACACACACACAYATACTTCTCACTTTGATAATGCTGTCCAAGCATCAGCCTGTGGTAATCAACACCTAAAATCTGAGTGTATTTATTATGTTCTCTACGTTTCTGTCATCCAGGTGGGCTTTTTCGGCTACGTCAGCTTCACAGAGCAAATCGCTGGCAACGTGCTGATGAACTTTCCATCCAACCTGGTGACCGAAATGATCCGTGTGGGCTTCATGATGTCTGTGGCAGTTGGATTTCCCATGATGATCTTGCCCTGCCGCCAGGCTATCAAYACCATGCTTTTTGAGCAGCAGGTGGGCTCAAAAACCACTCAAGTACACTTCCTGTGAGAGCACTGTTGAGTATGCCAAAGTTAGGCCTGTTGCGATAGTCAATAAATCAATTAATTGCACGATAAATTTTTTTGAAGTCGGTAAAAAAAATGAGGACAATAAGTTTCATTTTCTTGCTTGTTTGTTTACTTCCTCTCTCTCCCTCTCTGTGCTCCGCTGCACAGGGGCTCAGC